GCTATTTTTTTCCTAGACATGTTAGCATGTTCACGTCGACCAACCCATGACAAGATGGTCACATCATCCGGATTAACCCAATGCCACTGGGTAGTTTCCTGATGTGCAAGCCCTCTCTCTTGGGCTGTAATCCTACTGAGCCGGGCCTCACTGCCGGGGGATAGTCTTGGCACCATAGCACATGTGGCATAACAGTACATGTCCCTGGAAAATGGGACTGGAGCACCATGGCATGTATACACATGCCTGGCAGCAAAGGGTTACCCCATTGCTGACAGGGAAAATGAATAAAGAATGGGGAAAATGCTGTGCTCATTTTTTATATTTTTTTGTGAAATGTCTCTACACATAGATGGCATTGCCTTACCTGATTTCACCTTTCCTTGAATTGGTGGGAAAATGTACTTTTTACAAGTGCTATGAATATTGATGGTGTTATTTTTATTATAAACATTATAATTAATATGATGTTATAAACATTAGTAGTAGCAAAATAAGATAACATAAAATATTTTCGTAAATTAAAGTAAAGGGTAAACAGGCGAGACAGGCAGTACTCGTAATTGTCTCATTGGTGATTTAGTAAGTGTAGCCATCTATGTGTAAAAACAATCAAACAAGTAAACTGGTAGTGGACATGGCATGTAAGTACATGCCGTGCCCTTCGGGTATTCAAAATTTCATAAATATTTGTCAGAATTCAGGGATTTACATTCAGGGATAGGAATTAAACATGACCCATGTCATTCTTGATTGAGTCCAGAATTTGAGATTGTTTCCCTATGTCTGAGTTATCCTCCAATTGAACTATCAGTATTTTTGCCTGTTTATGTATGGTAAAACAAAGAAAATTCTTACTCAAGGTTGTATGGGGCTGCAACTGGTATTTCTTGAAAATTCTCCACATATTGTACATGGAATTCATAACTCATCACTGTTAATTATTTATAGAATTTTAATTTAATGATTATTTTATATTATTTACCGTAGTCATTGTAATTATTATTCAGAGCATTGATATTACTACTACTGCTGTTGCCATTGTCATAGGCATTATCATGAGTGAAAGAATAATATTTCACTAAAAGTAAGAGACAGGTAATTCTGAAATATTAATCTGTAGCTAGAAATGGTGTTTCTAGTATATACAATCATATTTTAGGTTTCACAAACTGGGCTCACTTTGAATCTAGATTTATTGCCTGTGCTAAATCCCTGATTCAACTAGAGTCGCAGGTATTGAGGAAATGCAATTTTTTTTATTTGACAGTTGTTTATTTGCATGCAGTTTGATGGTGACAAGAAATCACTGATGCTATGAAAGTTCAAGTGGTTTACCTCTCCATCAGAATTCAAATGTAGTTTACCAGCTATCAGCAACCCCAGTCTTACTCAAAAGTTAGCAGCTCTCGGTGACTTCATGTATCACTCAGTCAAATCACTTGTCCCACAGCACAAACACCTGAAGAAGGAGTAACATGACTGAGTGATCAGTTGACTGCCTGTAGGCTGCCATAATGACTTTATTGTCAGCAGTTATTATCCCCAAAATTTAAAGCTCTTACTCAGAGTGAATGCTAGTCAATGTCACTATTTGTAGTTGTAGTATTGTTGCTTGTATTTATTCATGTTAATAATATCATCATTATTAAAATATTTATTGTATTTCTCATGATGATGCATTATTATGGTTGATACTATTATAATTATTATAGTTATTATGATGATGATGATTATTATTATTATTGCTATTGATTTTATTAGTGTTATTATTATTATGGCTGTTATTACTTATACTGTTATTACTATTACTATTGTTATGGTTATTATTATTATTATTATTGATATTATTATTATTATTATTGATATTATTATTATTATTGTTATTATTATTATTATTGTTATTATTATTATTATTATTATTATTATTATTATTATTATTGTTATTATCGTTATTATTATTATTTCTGCTACTGCTACTACTGCTCCTGCTGCTGCTAGTGCTACTACTACAACTATTACTACTATACCACTATACCTCTTCTACTACTACTACTACTACTACTACTACTACTACTACTACTACTACTACTACTACTTCTACTACTACTGCTACTACTTCTACTACTCCTACTCCTACTCCTACTCCTACTCTTACTCCCCCTACTCTTACTCCTCCTACTCCTCCTCCTCCTCCTCCTCCTCCTCCTCCTCCTCCTCCTCCTCCTCCTCCTCCTACTCCTCCTACTCCTCCTACTCCTCCTATTCCTCCTATTCCTGCTACTCCTCTACTACCATTACTACTACTACTACTACTTCTACTTTAGTATTGTTGGGAACATTGAATGGAGAATAACCATTACAGCTATGATTTTCTTATAATGGACATTTTTAATAAGAGACTGGTCGATAGGTGCATTTAAGTAAACAGTGAAGTTGTTTATTCATTGATGATGATTATATTTATAATAGTGTTTACACAGTGCTTCCAGCTTACATGGCCCCCAGCTACAAAATAGGCATGGTAGTCACACTAAGGCAAATTTTGGTGTTTGGCATTCAAACGCTGAAATATTATACACCAGAAAATGTATATTTCAGTGCCGTATCTCAAATTCATTGAGTGCCAAGCTATCACAGTTACCCTCTGTGTAAGAATTAAAATTGGGGAGAGATAACTATGAATATGTAAGTAAAACACTTAAAGAATCTTAAAATTTTATATAAAAAGATAAAATGTGGATTTAGATGTATATAAGTAAGTAGATGCATAGATTTGAAGACAATTAAAGGCCATGAGGTAACTCAATAATACATAAAAGTAAGGTGTGTGAAAGGAATGTTGGAGGAGCAAAAGATGTAGTTTTTGGCTGAATGAAATATGCCATACAAGACCAGAAATATCTCGTTCTCACACCATTTCAGTCACAAAGAGATCGAGACTTGAAAACATTAATGTCACATTGGCTTTGGTGTATACATGGGAAGTACAAAGGATGTTGAGAGTATGGGGGATGAAGGAAACTTGCCCAAAAAATACCAGATGTATTAGAGGACACTGTGCATGTCTCATTCATAACAAGAAAATTTGGATAGTTTTGACAGGCCATGATCATAGCAAATACACTTAGTGATTAGTAACTTCAATCTTGGCAAATAGAACTTTTGGGTTTAATGTCTATAGTAGTAGTAAAGTTATCGATAATAACTATTACTGTTACCAATACAGTTACTGTTACTGTTGGTATTTGTACTACTACTACTACTACTACTACTACTACTACTACTACTACTACTACTACTACTACTACTACTACTACTACTACTACTACTACTATGATTACTACTATTACTATTATTACCAGACAGATAGATGATAACATTGCAAAGGGGAATCATGGAGCTGTGATAGTGCACATGAATGTTTGTGTGGGCTAATCCTATAAGCCACAAACCCGAGATGATACTGATACAGATTTCCATGGATTGTAGAAGATTCTTAGAGTTTAGAAATTTCAAATGATGAAATGTTATTCTAACCTATTGTTGCTAGGATGGCATAACCATACATGCATGTCTACTGTGATTTTAGATTTATTAATTATGTGTACTTATAAATTACTCCACAAATGCTTAATTGCTAATCACTATTACTATTATTGTTGTTATCATCATTATTATAATAATTATTATTATTATTATTATTATTATTGGTATTATTGGTATTATGTTGATTGTTATTATTTTGAATATTATAATGATGATGGTTATTGGTTTGTTATTTATGTCAGTTAAGGTATGAAAGGATTTGAATTGGTAATTTTTTGTCTAAATATATCCAGTTGTTGCTTAATTCTTATGGAAAAAGGTTAGTCAAGGATATGAGATGTTCTAATCATTGAGAGTGATGTATTTGGGTATTTATGCAATTAGGAACTGAATTTTGACCTGTTTGTAGAATGTCTTATATTCAGTTCAGTGTTTATTGGTATTTCACTAGTAATACATTTAGAATTTAAATGATTGTAATTATGACAAAGTAAGTAAGTAGTATGTCATGTATTCAAAAATATCATGTGTGCATGTGTGTGCGAGCAAGTGTGTACATCTGAATGTATTTATGTATGTGTATGCTAGGATCTGATGCTTCGTTAACCTCTTATAGTTCGAGTATACCTATAGCCATCATAAAATTCAACCCATCTCGATGGTTATGGCTACAGGTGAGTTCCCTGACCGAAAGACTAGATGGTTGCCAGAAGTCAGTGGAGTGAGTGACAGAAATTTCTGGTACCATCATTGTAGAGTTAACCATTTAAGAGCCCTTTACTAATTATTTCTCATCCATTGTATTTATTTTATTATCTTATGGAAGAATAATGAAATAAATATATATTTTGTGCTAAATTCATGTTAGATTAATTTTTTTTTATGGATACATTTCTTCTTTCTTTCATCCTATATTTTTTCATAGAGTATGAAAAGGTTGAAGTACATTGCTCACCAAGTTATCAGTCTCCAAAAGTACATGTCATTTTTATGATAATAGTGTGCAACACTATTTCTAACACTGTGAATCTCTCATTACTGCTAGCTTTTCACCAATGTATATGAAGAAAAGGGGGAGAAAGAAAAACAGTGTTATACATCAAAGGGGCTAAGCTTCCTTCTTCAGGAAGTGATTTGTAGAAAAAGTTACTCTCCAAAGGACACGAGATAGGAATTTAGAGGCACTTCGAAAAGAAGTTTGTTCTCATTTTTCTAGAGTTTGATGCATATGGTTACTAAAATATCAGCTGAATGTTTTCCTATGTGGTATGAAAATAATATATGAAGAACATTTATATAGTCTGAACAAAGTAATTATCATGTAAAACCTGATTAGTTCTTTGATATGCTGTATCTTCCTTGACCAGACTAAAAGAAACAACCTTTCAGATGCAATTCCCCAATCTCTGAACTATTACAAGTCAAAACTAATTTTCTGCTTTCTTTTACAGGCACAGGAGAATCTGGCAAATCTACCTTCATCAAGCAGATGCGTATTATCCACGGTGCAGGTTACAGCGATGATGACAAACGAGGGTTCATCAAGCTGGTCTTCCAGAACATCTTCATGGCCATGCAGTCAATGATCAGGGCCATGGACCTTCTTCAAATATCTTATGGAGACTCTGCAAACAGTGTAAGTACTTTGATGCTACGCTCTAACTTTCAGTGTATTTTAGTGTCATCGTATTTGTTTACTATTGGTGCGAATGCTGATTTTGTCTTCTAGGGTTTACTTTGAGGAAGAGTTTGTTCATTAAGTAAAAGAACAAGGTAGGTTACTTATAGGAATTAGCTGGATGAGAGAAGTGTATTTTAATACTGTTGCTTGTTCAGTTCTCTGCGAGACATTATATTATAGGTATATGTATGCCGAGATGGTGCTGTATGAATATGTGTATGACATTCCTAACTGCTACCCAGTGTTTGTAGTGCTTTGAAAATTGCTGGCTGATTATAAAGATTTAATGGTAGGCTTTATACAAGAATGGTTGAATTGTAGGAAAAAAAACCCTGAGGATCACTAAGGTGCTGACCTATATTTGTTATCTGTTCAGAAAGTAAATTTTTTTAAAATTTATTTTTACAAATGAAAATGTGAGCAAATCATTTTATTATAAAAACAATATTCCACATTCATAGTTAGTTAACTTTTATTAAATAGGCTGCAGTAAGATGATGATTAAGAGAAAGTAGGAAAAAGTGGGAAAAATTGCATATGATGAATGTATTTAGATTTGGTACAGTATGGTGCATATGTTCAATATTTATTCAACCCTTTTTGTGAATATATGAGTAGAAATATTTTTTGATAGTTGTATAGTAATGGATACAGAAATTAGATTTATATATATAATCCAATAAAATTGAAGATATACATACTTGTTTAAAGTGTCATCAAGTCCTAAAGAACTGAAATGTAAAGTAGGAATATGTTCAGAAAGTTGGGACATTTGTATAAGATGAACTACAGATAGAATATATGCATGACTGGACAGTCTTTGTACTGCAGATACTTCAAAAATAATTGTTAGTGGAGTTTACAATCTGCCACCTGGAATATAGTCCACGCAAGCCATGGCATGTACATACATGCCACCTGGCGGCTAAGGGTTCGTACAAATAGAGTGGAGAGGGAGAAAATGGTGTATAGAAGATCTGATGTGGTAGGTGTCTGTCTGAAAGTTAAACTGGGAGGTGAGACTTGTCTAGGAGAGCAGTGTTTTAAGATGGTTCATACAGAAAGAATGGAGAGGGGAGAATGGTGAAAGGAATTCTTATGTGGTAAGTGTCTGTCTGAAAGTTAAACTGAAAGCAGAGTGGTTGAAGGGGGTAAAGGTATGACTTACAGTGTAGCATGTGATTGTATCATTGTAGAAATTGAGAAGTATAGTGAGTGGCTGTCTTTTCTTGGCCATCCCTCTGAAAAAGAGGATAGGGTCTATATATATATAGATAGATAGTACACATAACTTGCTAATTGTAATATGGCATTTGTTTATTAATGTACTGTACTGTCCTTTCTATTGTTATTTTAATGTAAACATCTACTTGAAATTAAGAAGATTTTAGTATAATATATGCTTCAGCTTGTAGACAGCATCTTCATATCTCATCATTCTATTTAATTTTATGCAATGCACCTAGACTTCTCAACAGTAAAACAAGTGCTGTTTAGTTCATATGGGTACACCACAGTATGCTATGTAGCTATATAATGGTAATTGCTTGTTGTTCAGTTCACTTGGTCTGTGGAATACGGCTGTATAGCACGGCGACACTCCAAAGTGCTTTGAGCAGAGTGTTCGGCTTGATGTAGTAAACTCCCATGCTCAAAGTTGGCTTATTGCCGTAGAGTTTTTATTTTTCCTTCACCCAGCAGAAACGGGTTAAATGGAGGATATAGTTTCGTGTTAGAAGCAGATACAAGGGAAAAAAGTGAATGACATTGTTACTCTTGTATGCACAGTATTACAAAGAAGGAAAATTTAATAGAGCTTAACTTATGATGTTCATATTTATATTAGTCATCACATTCCAAATCCCAAAGTTTATACAACCAAAAATCAGTACAGTAATTTCATCTCTGGTGTTCAAATACCAAATAATATTTTATGCACTAATTGGAAGGATGTTGCATACTCTTTGGTGAAGAAGAAGCTTTTAAATACAATAGGTGTAAAATATGGTGCAAGTTTAGTGCCAGAAGCTAAATCATTTGGTTAGCAGTCAATCACTGGAATTTCGTTTTTCCTTTTGTAATAATATTGTTGTGCACAATTAGTTGAGATTACTCTTCTTTCCTTCTTTCTTTCTGACCTTTTCAAAATCTATAGATGAGCATTATGGTGACCATAGATTCACAAGGGGCCTTTTATGGCTCTGTATGTTAACTATGCATTGGTGAGCTAGGATATCCAATATTTAACCCACTCATGACGGATGATGTCCTATCTCAACATGGTTAAAATGTCACTCACATGAAGCTGATATCCTTCATACCATGCACATTTAACCCAATGGTGATGGGTGAAGAAAACAAAAACAAAAAAATTCTATGCTCTGGCGAACCATGGTAGCACGCCAACATTGAGCACGGGAGTTCTGTACATCAGGCCGAATCACTGGCTCGCCACGCTTTGGTGCGCCGCCACTGCGTTTGTTTTCACGCCTTGTAGCGTCACCTGTTGTGAAGGGGTTAAGCCTGTTTTAAGTTCTGTACAGTTATGTTAGGTTCATTGAAAAGAAAGAGCTGACTGCTTGTGTCTGTTGCCCAGTTAGTGGAAGAATATGAAAAACCTATTTGAGCCTTAAAGAATAAGAGAATGTGATTACACAGCTTTCTGTCAGATTATCTGTCTTTGTTCTCAGAGAAAATAAACTGTAGCACTCCTCTTTCCCAACATTTGCTTGACAGGATTAAAGTACATATCACTGCTGGGTGAAAAAAAATGAATAAAAATTCTACACTCTGGAGATTAATGACAATGAGCCAACTTTGAGCGTGTGAGTTGGCTACATCAAGCTGAATGCCCCGCTTGAAGCGCTTGAGCCGATTGGTCTGTGGCATAGAGCTGTACTCCGCAGACCAATCAGTTTGTTATGACGCCGCAAGGCGTGACCCGGCTGAAATTGGTTAAAAAGTCAAACGAGATGATATTGTACAAGCTTGAAAAAACAAATTAACACTTCTTGTATGTCTTTGATAAACCTTCTTTTACCTACTTCCAACAGGAACACGCAGATCTGGTGCGAGCGGTGGACTACGAGTCAGTCACAACGTTTGAGGAGCCATATGTAACTGCCATGAAAAGCTTATGGGCTGACACCGGCATTCAACACTGCTATGATCGTCGCAGAGAGTACCAGCTCACAGATTCAGCAAAATAGTATGTGGATCTTTTGATCATATTATTTGCCCAATATTACAGCTTTGATGATAGAGGTTTAGCATGTTAGGGCAGTTAGAAGCTTTTTAGTTATCTTTGTGAAGAAGGCAGTACTATCAAGTTAATTTAGTATGTATTACATATATACATACACATACACACATACGTACGTATACACATATACACACACGCACATATGCACACTCGCACACGCACATATGCACACTCGCACACGCACATATGCACACTCGCACACGCACATATGCACACTCGCACACGCACATATGCACACTCGCACACGCACATATGCACACTCGCACACGCACATATGCACACTCGCACACGCACATATGCACACTCGCACACGCACATATGCACACTCGCACACGCACATATGCACACTCGCACACGCACATATGCACACTCGCACACGCACATATGCACACTCGCACACGCACATATGCACACTCGCACACGCACATATGCACACTCGCACACGCACATATGCACACTCGCACACGCACATATGCACACTCGCACACGCACATATGCACACTCGCACACGCACATATGCACACTCGCACACGCACATATGCACACTCGCACACGCACATATGCACACTCGCACACGCACATATGCACACTCGCACACGCACATATGCACACTCGCACACGCACATATGCACACTCGCACACGCACATATGCACACTCGCACACGCACATATGCACACTCGCACACGCACATATGCACACTCGCACACGCACATATGCACACTCGCACACGCACATATGCACACTCGCACACGCACATATGCACACTCGCACACGCACATATGCACACTCGCACACGCACATATGCACACTCGCACACGCACATATGCACACTCGCACACGCACATATGCACACTCGCACACGCACATATGCACACTCGCACACGCACATATGCACACTCGCACACGCACATATGCACACTCGCACACGCACATATGCACACTCGCACACGCACATATGCACACTCGCACACGCACATATGCACACTCGCACACGCACATATGCACACTCGCACACGCACATATGCACACTCGCACACGCACATATGCACACTCGCACACGCACATATGCACACTCGCACACGCACATATGCACACTCGCACACGCACATATGCACACTCGCACACGCACATATGCACACTCGCACACGCACATATGCACACTCGCACACGCACATATGCACACTCGCACACGCACATATGCACACTCGCACACGCACATATGCACACTCGCACACGCACATATGCACACTCGCACACGCACATATGCACACTCGCACACGCACATATGCACACTCGCACACGCACATATGCACACACGCACACGCACATATGCACACTCGCACACGCACATATGCACACACGCACATATACACACACGCACATATGAACACACACACACATATATATAACACTTATATAGAATAATGATATAATCTTTACACATCATACAAAGTGTTTTAGAAATCACTGAAAATGATATAGATAAGCACTTGTAGACTGCTTTAGTTTTAGACTACCCACAATTAATAATTTCCAAATGATAGCAAGGTAGCTATATTTTGTTTTTGTTTTTCACTTAAAGACTAAAGGAATAACATATGTGCACTTATCACCATTTTACTTTTTTGCCCTTGATTTTTTTTTTCATTTTTTTTATTTTTATTTTTCTTTATTATTATTTATTTTGTATTGTATGTTGCACCACAAGCAACCTTTATATAGGGGATAGTAAGATTTGTTGGCATTGTATGAAGTGCATGGTGTACATATAACCTTCCTTTTTGTAGATAGTACATATTCCATCCAGGTTATTTATGGTTTTTCTAATTTTCTTTTCTTAAAGAAATCAGATAGATAGCAAATGTTTTCAGTAGATCGGGTAGTGGAAAGTGGGCATGGTCTGTCTTCATTTAAGAGTAAGAAAATATATCCCACCAGATTTCCTTTTAATTATTTCACTTTTTAATGATATTTTGCACATGACAATAATGTTGTATATGTGAGTTATTAGTTGAGGCTAATATTGGTGGTGCAGTCAGCAAGTGTCCGTATACAGTGGAATTGTTCTTTGCATTAATTGTAAAATTTGTGAAAACTGGGTCATTGGCAAACTTTTGTTAATCTGTAAGCTCTTTCTGAATATCAGGAATGATTTAGGAGTCATTGCTACAAAGTATTTTTTATAATTTGTTATTAATATCAATTTTTCCGTAAAAGTGTTACCCGTATCCTTGTAGTAACATTTCAGTCAAATACTTTATAAATTGCACAGAAAAGTGGCTAATAGCTTTCAAAAGGCACAAAGGTAAGGAAAGATGTCTTGATATATTATTCATTTATTTTATTTTTTTTTATTAGTATTATTTTCTCATAAATGTTGTTATTCTTGTAAACATATCTTAAGGATCTTTGTTCTTATACTATTCTCTCCTTACTTATAATTCTTCATTAAATGTCTATAGGCTGTGTATTAGTTTGAAAATATTAAAAGCAACTACTGAAAAGTTAACTGAAGAAACAAGTGTTGAAAAGAGAGAAATAGAGAGAGAGAGAGTGATAGAGAAAAAAAAAGAAATTGAAATAATAAGTAAGTGAATCAGTGATATATTACAAAGATGTCTTTTCTTCTTTTCTTTTCTTCTTTGGTGCATTTTAATGGAAAACACTGATATGTGCAAAGATATAATTAAGTTTTATATATATGTGCAAATGGTGAGGGGAGTGCTAAAGTTTTATAAAAGTTGATTTCTCTTTGTAAATTCATTGGCTTTCATTGTGTTGAGTGATGGATCTACAAGTAATCAATAGCTTCACGGTTCTCCTCTGTCCCAGTGGATCAAAATCTACACCCCCCCTTTGTGCTCTCCTTTTTTTTTTTTTTTTTTTTCTTTTTTTTTCTTTTTTTTTCTTTTTTTTTTTTTTAATAAAGTAACTTTTAATCGTACCTCTTGAGCGTTGACTCCTTAATTACAACTTTTTCCAAGTACGGTACTTCCTGAAGCTTGTATTGCTTACTGTATCCTTCAATAATGCAATAATTACCTGTAGTTGCTAAATTATCTTTGTATCCCAACAGCTATTTAACAGACTTAGACCGCATAGCTGCCGAGGACTATGTTTCCACACTACAAGACATTCTAAGAGTGAGAGCACCCACAACAGGCATTATAGAATATCCCTTTGACCTAGAAGAAATCAGATTTAGGTATGTTCTGTGGGAAGCTCTCACACATATGTGCCCGGGTTGGTAGGTAGTGTACCAGCTCTGACGTGTCTCGAGGCCTTGTTGATCCCTCCCGGTGTAACTTGAGAAAGCGCTAACAAGTTTGGGAATTAGTACCTTTTTTTTTTTTTTTTTTTTTTTTTTTTTTTTTTTTTCTTTCTTTCTTCTTTCTTTCTTTCTTTCTTTCTTTTTTTCCTTTTTTTTTCCTTTTTTTTTTTTCTTTCTGTTTTGTCTTTTGTTTTTCTTTCATTCTCTTGTTTCTTTCATTCTTTATTTTTTTCTTTATTTTTTTTTCCTGGTTAGACCAAATGGATAAAAAGTGTTTGTAAAGAGGCATTGAATCAACTTTATAAAACTTGTGGCACACGAAAAGGCATCAGCAAGGTTGTACCATATCTCACTGATGCTGCTCCCCATCACCATCCACCACTTTGACACTATCAGAGGAACACCGACAAAGACAACTGTTTTTCCTTTGCAGTTATCTTGATGATTTGGAGCGTATCATATCATCGGACTTCTTACCGACCGAGCAGGATATTCTTAGGGCTCGAGTACCAACCACTGGAATCATTGAGTACCCCTTTGATCTGGACTCAATCATCTTTAGGTATCAGAAAATCTTGAATTCATTAGGCCCTCCCCTGTCAGCCAGAGCAGAGTAGATAGATCCCAGTGCATAGAGTTTATACCAGTGCCGTTAACCTAACATTGTGGAGGTAGAGTCCCTTTTGTATCCCTATGTCAGCATTGTAATGCTCTGCAAATTGTTGTATAACAGAGTTGCAATTACAACTACCACCCATGTCTCCCATAACCCAAGGACTCTCATAAAGTTTCTCATTGTTTATCAAGAGTGCGGTCCATAGTTGATTCCCTATCAACCGTTGGAATCTCTATTGTGTAGTCATATCTATGGCTAATATCTGAGTAAAGTTTTAGTGATGATTTGAATTTCCTGTTGTGCAAAACTTATCTCTTCTGTGAGTGATTGCCCTGAAGAGTTGAACAGTTATTTCTTATATTAACAAGATTAATATCTTCAGATGAATTTTGGATCTGGATTGCAAGATCCACATGGTAAGGAGATTTCCTTTTCACAGATTAAGCTTTGTATATACATATTTATTTCTTTTTCCTTTTAACTAAGGAAACTATTTTTGCACAGTATGAAATTTAAATTTAAGCTATCACTAAAAGAGTAGCCAAATTATCTATTCTTTAGTGCATCATATATAAAAAGACAAAGCAAAAAAAAAAATATCTCCCCATGAATGTTAAACCACCAGACATGCAACCTTATGCTTCAAGGAAAGGCAAGAGGCACGTGAACTTACCTGTAGTCATTGTGCACCTGTTATTGCACAATACATGTGTCCTCACCCTTCATACTCTTTCACGTACTTTATGTGTTTGTTCCCAATATTATTTATATCTACCTAGTGTGACCGTATGCATCATCTTGTAGTCATCCTCTATACATACACATGAAATCTGAGGTCCTTGGGGGTATAGATAGTGCAGTAGTTTGGTTTCAAAATGCTTACATTGTGCAACTCGGTCCCATTATGTATATAAATATATATATTTATATATATAAATTATATATGTGCTGTATTAATCTATAAATGTCCTCTATTTTTCTTTTCTTTTTTAGTTTTATGGAATAAAGGAGAGAGTGGAGATCAGTATCTTCAGTCAAACTTTATCTTTTGTAATTTATGTTCTGTAATTCATTGTACTAAAGGACCTGTATATAATTCTCAAGTCCACTTTCTTTCATTACTATTTGATTAATGCAAAATATGAATTTTATCCATAATTTAAACTTTTCCTAAAGATCAGTGATTGTTAATGTGAAGTCATACACTAGTAGTTTTCTAAAAAAGCTAATGTTAATGAACTTGATCAGTCATGCCTGTTTTTTGTTCTTTAATTTCCTTTCATATTCTCTTTTTCCATCTTCTGAATGTGTATATGACTTGTGATTCTCTGTGACATATTTGTTTGGGGGGAAATTTAAACCGTGACTCCACCTGCAGAATGGTAGATGTCGGTGGTCAGCGATCTGAGCGACGGAAGTGGATTCATTGCTTCGAGAATGTCACCTCCATCATTTTCCTGGTCGCACTTTCTGAGTATGATCAGATCTTGTTTGAGTCTGACAATGAGGTAAGTTATGGGCAGAAATGTCGCTTTTTTGGTGGGAATGTGTTGTTGATAACATTTGATGTGCGATATATATGACTGTATATAATTGTTTTTTGTTTCTAATAATGATATTTTTATGATTTGCTGTCTATTCTTGTTGCTCCATATTTAAGATTGATTAAGGCTGAAACTAAAGTAAAAGGCTTAGATTGTTATATAATGTTTGCTGAAGTGACAGTTTTGGGTGAATTATCACTCTACCATTCATTTATTTGAAGAAATTGTCATTCTGAAAAAGTATAAAGGGAAACTCCCAAATTTTGTTTACCTGTTTTTAGGGGTTTGAATTTTAACCACTTATTAGAAAAATGTTTTGGAAAATTAGAAGATATTGTTTTCATGTATCTTAAAGAAAAGAAAGAGAGGAGGAAAAAGTGTTAGAAAGTAGTCATGAAATCTCAACAGTGTTGTGTCAGGTAGTTTTTGTCTCTATAGTAGAAATGGGGTTTTAGTGATGCAACTCTCCCAATGTTTCAGTGCCATCTAAGTTAGCCGATTATTTTAGTGGCCAGGTCAGTGTTTGTATGGAAACCCAAACCCTATAGGATCCACTTCCTATATTTCAGCCTCCTTCATCTTCTCTTTTCTGCTCTTCCTCTTTGTCCTTCTTTTACCTTGCTCCTTCTCTTCCTTCTTCACCTCTTTCTTGTCCTCCTCCTTTTCTTCGTCTTCGTCTTCGTCTTCATCTTCGTCTTCATCTTCTCCTTTTCTTCGTGTTCGTCTTCATCTTCGTCTTCATCTTCTCCTTTTCTTCGTCTTCGTCTTCATCTTCGTCTTCATCTTCTCCTTTTCTTCGTCTTCGTCTTTGTCTTCATCTTCATCTTCGTCTTCATCTTCTTCTTCTCCTCCTTCTTCTCCTCCTTCTGCTTCTCCTTCTCCCTCTCCTTCTCCTTCTTCTCCTTCTCCTTCTTCTCCTTCTTCTCCTTCTCCTTCTTCTCCTTCTTCTCCTTCTTCTCCTCCTCTTCCTCCTCCTCCTCCTCCTCCTCCTCCTCCTCCTCCTCCTCCTCCTCCTCCTTTCCTCCTCCTCCTTTCTTCCTACTCCTCCTTTCCTCCTTCTCCTCTTCCTCCTCCTCCTCCTCCTCCTCCTTCTCCTCTTCCTCCTCCTACTCCTATTCCTCCTCCTCCTCCTTCTCCTCGTCCTCCTCCTCATCATCATCATTTCTTCCTCCTCCTCCTTTCCTCCTTTCCTCCTCCTCCTCCTCCTCCTCCTCCTCCTCCTCCTCCTTTCCTCCTCCTTTCCTCCTCCTTTCCTCCTCCTCCTCTTCCTTCCTCTCCTCCTCCTCCTCCTCCTATCCTCCTCTCCACCTCCTCTTCTGCCTCCTACTCCTACTTCTTTTTCTTCTCCATCCTCCTCCTCCTCCTCCTCCTCCTCCTCCTCCTCCTCCTCTTCCTCCTCCTACTCCTACTTCTTTTTCTTCTCCATCCTCCTCCTCCTCCTCCTCCTCTTCCTCTTCCTCTTCCTCCTACTACTCTTTCTCCCCCTACTACTTCTCCTACTCATACTTCTTTTTCTTCTCCATCTTACTACTCATCCTCATCCTGCTCCTATTCCTCCTTCTCCTGCTCCTATTCCTCCTCCCTCTCCTCTGCCATCTTCTTCCTTTTCTTAATCTCATCTTCCTCTTTTTCTTTTCTTTTCCTCCTTGTACTTTTCCTCCTGCTCTTTCTTATTCTCTTTCTCACTCTTCCCCTTCCCCTTCCCCTTTTCTTTTCCTTTCCCTTTGTCTTCGTCTTTGTCTTTGTCTTTGTCTATTCTTTGTCTATTTTTATCTCTCTCTTTTTCTTTCTGTCCCTCTTTTTTTTTTCTCTCTCTCTTTTTCTCTTTCTCTTTCTCCTCCTCCTTCCCCTCCTCCTCCTTCTCCTCTTCTTCTTCCTCCTCCTCCTTTTTTCTCTATCTCTACTTTTTCCTCCTTATCCCTCTTCCTCCTCCACCTCCTCCCCCTCCTCTTCCTACTCCACCTCTTCCTCCACCTCCTCCTCTTCCTCTTCCTCTTCCTCCTCCACCCCTTTCTTCTTCCATTCCTTCTCTTCCTCCTCCTCCTTTTCCCCACCTCCTCCTCTTCCATTTTTTCTCTTCTTCCTCCTCCTCCTTTTCCCCACCTCCTCCTCTTCCATTCCTTCTCTTCTTCCTCCTCTTCCTCCTCCTCTTCCTCCTCCTCTTCCTCCTCTCCATTTTCTGTCTTGTTGATGCTCTCTTGAAAGGGGCAGACTCCCCATATTAATATGTAATGATGGTAGATAAACATCAATTGCATCCCCTGAAACTAATCATTCGTATTACAGTGTTATTTTCTTAATTTATATATATTTTTTTATTTTTCCTTTTTTGGTCTCCCTCCTTGACCTGAATTTAACCCAACTGGTGCGCCAAGACTGGAATGTTTTGATCCACTTTTTTTCTGCTAATCAGAAATGGATACATTCAGTGACAAAGTCTTTTTAGTTTCATAATGAGGAGGCATCAGATTAGTTTTATAATCTTATTTTAGCCAATAGCTCAGGTAAATATGACTGTAGTTAAGCAGGGCAATACTGTTTTGAAAATTGCCTGGTGTGTTGTGTTAAATTTCTTTTCTCTCTTTTTTTCCATTTGAATAAAGGGAAAATAGTTGTCAGTGGGACACGGGTCAGATACTACATTTACTAATGATCATTAGATGTGATAGCATTTGAGTGTTACTTTCTTTTTGATATGTTATATCCTCATATTTCAACCTCCTATACATCATATTGGATGAATTTCTTCTCAATATTTTGTGAGACTCTTGTAACAGGGAAGAGTCACTTAGTATAAATTATATGAAAACTGATGTTATTGTCATTACTTTCTTCATCATTATTATATTTGTTATAATTTTTTTGTCAGGTTGAAATGCACCTTCTCATTTTTACCTTGACAGAACCGAATGGAAGAATCAAAGGCCCTGTTCAAGACCATTATCACATACCCCTGGTTCCAGCACTCGTCTGTTATTCTCTTCCTTAACAAGAAGGATCTTTTGGAGGAGAAGATCATGTACTCACATCTTGTGGACTATTTCCCAGAATATGATGGTAAGCTGGTGTTTTGGTGTTGAGTGTTATTCATATGCAGATGATCAAGTGACATATGGCATGGGGATAGGCCAGAAAAAAAATGTAGGTTGTATGAAATACAAGCATTGGAATGGAAAAAGTTTAGCAGGTGGGAAAGTACCTTAGAAGATTTAATGGGCATTCAATGAGATATGGAAAGCATGAGATTGTTGCAAGTGGCTTTGTATGTGTTACATAACTTGCAGGATTTGTCATTTAGCTCTGGTTATCCGCTCCTCGTGATTAGATGTGCAGTATCAAAGGCTTCATGAATCAAGACATTTCTGAGTTTGTGTAAATGCTGGAGGGAAATATCATTGGATAATAGATTCATGTTTTTGTGACCTTTGGTAATGTAAAGATGCACTTTGAAGGAAAACAAAAAATTCTCAGCAGGATGGTCAATTGTGATCATAATTCATATAACTAGTATCAAGTCAGCCATAATCATAATAATTTTTAGCAAAAAGAACATGAATGTCATGTATGGTACTCTTCTAAAGGATTATCATTTTGCTGACCTACTATATTTTTGTGAAAGATGTCAGTACGTTAATGATGCTCTTATTATCTCATATTTACCAAGGAAACTTTAAGGCAAAGTCATTTTAAGCATTCATACCATGATACAGTTCTAGCTACAAATTAGAGTTGAAAATCAATAGAAGCACCTTCAGATTACCCAAAATATTTACATTCAGGGATCCTTGCAAGGGGTAAAGTTTTCTCCACAAGCCTTATGGCAGTTTGCCTGTAGGTAACATAGAGGTGCATTATCCTCGATGACACTTGTTTGTTATGACCTCCAGGACCAAAAGAGGACCATGTTGCAGCTCGTGAATACGTTCTGAAGATGTACCTTGCCCAAAACCCAGATCCCGACCGAATGTGTTATTCTCACTTTACTTGTGCCACAGGTCGGTTTGGTCGTCACAGAACTAAGAGCTAGCTAAATGTATTACCAAATGTAGATGGACATGTCCGTCTGGCCAGCCAGCTTTTAACTTACACCTTTTATGAAAGTATTTAGTGGTTCATGTAAAAGCTTGTATACCTTATGAAAATGGGAAACATTTTTCTGAGACTTAGACTGAATTTTCTGATCCCTCTGAGTCCATATTTATGTATGTGGAACAAGCAGAGAAGTGCAGTTGTTGAGCAACCCATATAGCTGGATTTTAGAGATTTGGATTAGTTGATTACGCTCTTTAACTCAAGTCAGAGATAGTAAGTATAGTCATGTTTATGCATAAGTAGTTTTGTCCTTTTAGCATTGTATGAAGTGTACTTATGTAGTTTAAAGATTTATAATGACAGCCACTTAGTTTGCAACATATGCTAGATGTATAAAATTTGAATGGATTATGATGGAGTGAAATAGAGGAGTGTAATTAATGCTTCTATCTAAAATATGATACCAGTGGTATCAGTCACATGATACCTTTTGCAGATTCAGTCTTTGAGTAATGAGATATAACTTGTAATAGTAGATAGTACATTCATTTATTTCAGTTCTCTTTTATTATCATGTAATGTAAAATGGCTTTAAATCTCTTAATACAACTGGTATAAGTAATCCATGAGGAGTGTTTTCAGATACATAATTGTGTTTATTCTATGCATTTCAAGCATGAATTATTAGGATTTATTTCATGTTGGAGATGCTGGGAAAAATTCTATATTTACACACACACACACACACACACACACACACACACACACACACACACACACACACACACACACACACACACACACACACACACACACACACACACACACACACACACACGCACGCACGCGCACACACACACACACACACACACACACACACACACACACACACACACACACACACACACACACACACACACACACACACACACACACACATACACACACATACACACATACACACACATACACACATACACACACAGAGGTAAAAATCCAAATATCTAGTGCTGTGTATTCCAGTTGTTATTCTTTAAAAGATATGGAAAACAAAGACATTTGAATATATAGTGGACTGAAAATGATGATTAATGGTATTTATTTGTTTATCTGTTATAAATGCTTATATTTACTGGAGGATTACTTTTCATTTGGAATAATTTCTTAATGGTTTTAGAATTGGTAAAAATATGTATCGAATGTTGATTATTACTGCTGGTATGAGTAACTAATGGACTATTTCCAGGTATGTGTTTTGTCTTTGAATGGTTATGTTCTTCCTTATTTTCTTTTTTTGTGAATGAAGATGAAAAGTAGTGAACAATATGTAGAGGTAAAAGTGAAGAATGTGATCTTCTATGGAGATTCTGATTGCCGAACATTGCCAGGCTTTTGTGAGTGAAAGGAAGTATTGTAGAATTGTTTTATTTATTTATTTATTCACTACTTTACTGTATGCAGAGGAAGATGAATGGTAGAGTTGAATATTAGGAGGAAGGAATACATATCTATATCTATACCTTTTTCGCTTTTTATCTATCCGTGTATATATATGTTTTATATATATATTTTTTTCATTTATCTTTTTTTAATAATTTGAACCACTTTATTGTACATATAATTTTAATAGTGGTTATAAGGAATTATGTCAAAGGAAATAACCACATAGAGAATATATTTTGTTGGCATATTCCACTGATTTCTAGAAAAAATTATCTAATGAAACAAGTATTATTGGAAAGAGAGAAGATGATTATCAGGCATCAGTAGTCCATTTTATGCAGGAGTGTTCCGTGCTCTCCAAAAGGGTTTCCTTTGAGAAAACCATATCCTCGTCCTTCAGATATGCATAGGGAAGGTTATGTGCTTCATCTCAATTGTTCTTTTCCAGGCCCACAGAGGGATGCCATTGCAGCACGGGAGTTCATCCTACGTATGTTTGTAGAATTAAATCCTGATCCTGAGAAGATTATATATTCACATTTCACATGCGCGACAGGTAAACAGCACAGCATTTCTGTGGAAATGAACATGCATGATGACCATTCTTGCCTGAATGTTCGGGAAGGCTGGAAATTGGAATGTACTTTTCTGCTGTCCAATGTGCCAGTGCATGGTGGATGACCTTTATGTGTGCATTTGCCACCCATTTCTTGAAATGTGGAAGCAAAGGGCTTTTTGGCCTACGAGTGTCAAATTGGAAATTGGCACTTTTGTGTGACCACCTTCTTTCTTCTGCCTTTTTCAGCAAGCTTTTGGTGCTTTATTTTTGTCTCTCCTGAACGAATGAATCATGAAAGGATGATGAGATGATTAATATGTTTGTTTTTATTTCCTTTGCATGCTGCCTCTGGCTTCTTCCATCTATGTTATGTGGAATATTCCTGCATGTCTGCATGACACATTCTTCCTTTCTGTTTTGATATTTTACAAATACACATAACTCATCACATTGAATACCAATATGATGACTTTCAACACCTTCATATCCATTATAATTACTCTTAAAAAATACTAACTTAATGTCTGTAAAATCACAAAACACATACCACCCAACATATCCATAATCACATTCATGGAACCAAAACAGACACAGAGAATATCAAATTGGTGTTCTGTGCTGTAAAGGATACCATTATGCAGAATGCTCTTAAGGAGTACAACCTCGCCTAAAGTTCCTCCTCTTACTTCTCTTGTGTTCCGTCTGTTCATCTACACTTACAAGGTGATTTGTGGGATGCCAGTTTTATTTTGTATACTTGAAAGTGTAGATCTGATCTCAATTTTTTTTTATTATTTATTTATTTATTTTTACACATAGTTGTTGTAGATTCTTGGCAAAATCTTTGTAGAAATGCATGAGCCTTCCAAAAAATTAACTTGTGAAGTATAGTTGTGTCTCTATGCATGGATTTGAAAATGTATGTTTTCTTGTTTGGTGTAGTGAGGATGTGATTTTAGATTTCAATTGTATTTGATTTCTTACAATTTTTTTTTTTGCTTTGGTCATTTATCTGGTGTTTAAGTATAGTAGTCTTCTTGCATTTAGGAAAGTAATTTTCTTTTTTCCTTTGGGTTTGAATATCAATATTTGATTGGATGTAGAATTTTCATAATTGAAGTAATTTGTTTGAAATTTGCTCTAATGAGTAATTATTTGACAGAAAGCATTTTTTCCTGTAGATTTGTAGTTGGTAAGAGATGTTTATAATTAGTCTGAAACAATATTGAAATATAATTTTCCACAGACTAAGATAGTGTTTTACTTTTTTTACAGACACTGAGAACATAAGGTTCGTCTTCGCTGCCGTCAAAGACACAATCCTGCAGCTAAATCTAAAGGAATACAATCTGGTGTAACGTAGAGCTGTGCCCAACTCTGGCCGAAAGTGTACCCAAGGTGAAGTGACAGCATACCCCCCTACTCTTGTGAGGGGCTGTCGGTTGAGGCCTCACTTCATCACCCTAACATGGACACTAAACTATGAAGGCAGTCATATTTTGCATTTTTAAAACCCATATTCAGTGTCCCAAAGAAATAAAGGCTCTATGCTTTATTTTTCTTTCTTTTTTCTTTTCTTTTTTTTCTCAGTTTCCAAAGATTTGTGTGAGCCTTCAGTTCCCTTCCAAGTCAAGCCATCCTGTTTGGGACAGCTTCAGCTATTTGCAGACAGCCTAAATTGAGGATGTTTTGATGCCAAGGGGCTTGACACCTTCAATTATGTAGTTCCAATTTATGTAATGTACGCCATTTCCAAGTCCTCAGTTGCGTACAATGTCTGTTAACCCAAAGTCTCACACCCGGAAGGGGCGGATTAACTAGTCCAAAGCCATGACTGGTTCCATTTTTGACTGTTGCCATGTTGCCAAAAGGACCGCCCCTACCCATGTCCCGTGCTCATTACCAACGCTGCCAACGAGCTTAGTGCTCTCTGGTCGTAATGGTGCTCCCTAAGCCCTGATTCACGCGTGTGGATGTGTGTGTGTCGCTTAAGCCACACTCAGCCGCTGCTACATGTGCGTAACTTGGAGCTAATGTTAGTGTGTACACTGATAAACATCATGGGCTGACACACTCCACATCTAACGAAGTATTGCTCCAGCCTCGTTTTCTTGCCTTTGCGGGAAAGTTTGCTTGCCTTGCAGGTGATTGTTAGGATGTTTTGTGTTGGTGGCTTTTGTATATTACACATATATAAACATTATGTGGTCTAACGTTTCATCTTTAGTGTGTGATAATATGTAGTTGATCATGAGAGGAGCTATCCATTATGTATAGGCCTGCAAAGTTTCCTGGGGGTTAAGGAAGAAAGAAGTGCTTGCTACTGAGACTTTTATGCACCTCCAAAGTAATGCATCTGGACCACAAGTAAGTAGAGCACAGAAAACTACTTGAAGATGCAACAGCCAAATGCAGTGAGTCTTATGGCGTCCAGAGTGTGAGAAAAGAGAAAGAGTCAACAGAACAACAGAGAAGGAACAACAGAAGAAGAAGCAGTTTTAAATTCTGATTTCTGAGAGTGATACTTAGAAATGTTAAGCATTGAGTACTTTGCTGCCACTTACCTTAGGTTGGTACAAATCTGAATAAATCAGGTACCACGTATGAGTAGCTGCTGTAAGATTTGGAAATGTATCTACCTATGAGGGCATCAGTGCTTGTGATATATTGGTGGTAGCGAGTATGGCTTTAAAATGTCTCCTTAGATAGCCAGATCTCCTCTGCCTGGTGAAAGGCAAAGCCAGGTACCAACACTACCTACCAAGTGACACAGAAGCTTATTGGTGAGGTGCTACAGACTGTAGGCTCTTAATATCTACTCTTGCGTCAAAAAGTGCAATTCAAAGATAGCTGACTCGGAGCTGAGACTTAAGACTCTTGTGGCTTATGCGAAAGTGAGCCTAGAATGGTATTTTTGAGTATCACTAGCCATTTACTGATAATCATGCTTGTATGTGACGTGTGTTCAATGCAACCTGGGCACAAGGGTGTGCCTGCAAACGTGTCCAGCACTGTCCCCGATGATAGGATGTTGATTTATGATAATGAGTGTGATAATGGTGATGATTGTTGAATGATGATGATTGTAGACGGAAGCACTAGTCAGTATGGGCGCGGGTAAACACAATTGCCCACTGCTCATGTTACTTGTATATATGTGTCTGTAATAATAACTATTAGGTGTATGGGTGCGGGGTAACCTGGTGAACCCCCATGGATTGCCAATAGAGAAGGTAGCGAATGAACGGATGCTGAGAGTAAATGAACAGACCACGGACAAAGACGTTCCAAAAGCTTGGCGCACCCTAGCGAAAGGGCTGTGTGCTAATTCTAGTCTCTGGTGCCATCAGGTGTTTCTTACTAGACAAGCCCATTCAATTTTGGGCTGGTCTGAACCTGGCCATTCTGGCAGACAAACTCGGATCAGCTGGTGAGGGAGAAAAAACCCGTAGTTGACAGCTGAGCAGAGCAGGCAAAGTGGCTCATGATGAAAGCTTTGCCTGCAGCGTAGACTTAGCTCAATCCCCAGCCATGTGAGGTACGCATGGCACGTGTGCTTCTGCTTGCAGGTTCTGCCATGTTTGTTGGGCTGCTTGTATAATTAGTAGAGAGACTAATGGAATTACACACAGCCCTGGAAATGAGCCTTGACCTTCCAATCGTTTGTACACTTGTTGTTATATTCTTAACTTCAGGTTGCATTTTGTCTATTGTTTGTAGTATGTACAGACCAAGTAAGGTATTATTTTTATTCATTATCATTACTTTTATGGAAAGAATGTGTTGACAAGTAATTACCAATCATGTGTATTCAAAAAGACTTGTACTAAGGTTAAAAAATTGAAAACCCCATATGTACCAAAGTATAACTTGATTTTATTTTTGAAGTGGCCGACATGTAGCATGCAGTAGTAGTGGGCGGAGGAGGCAACCACATAGCCACCCCGCTAACCCGCCCCGGTATTTAGCACTGCCTACTGCTCCACCCACCCTGGGTCCTCCCCCGGCCCTGGGGGGCATGGAAGCATTGGCACCGGGGCAGGTGTAGCTTGGGGGGGCCAAGGCCCCAGTCTCCCCCCTGCAGGACCCTGGCCCCTCCCTGGCATGTTGTCGCAAGATGTAACCACCAGAGATGAACTAAACCTTTCTAATGGCTGCATCTTGCCCTGCCTCCTTCCTGGTGCCTAGCCAGTCACAACAGCGGTGTTTGGCTAGGTACTAGTGTGTGGGCAGCAAAAGGTCAACAATACACCTGCTGCCCACATTTCCACCCATCCTCTGCAGTGCTTCAACCACACCAACTCGGTCCACTACTGTACTATTCATTAAGCTTCAGACCGAAAGAATAAAGAGGGATTTGTGTTTTAAGAATAAATATTTATTGAAACAA